CTCTTCATATCTTGCATTTTGGAGGCGGCAGCATTATTCAGCATGCCTTCGTGCAATGTGGGTCACAGCTCCCAAACTTGGACTGCCCCCATGACCGGTAGCGCGCCCACAAGTTTGGGGTAAGGCCCCAATTCCTGTAGCTTGCGAAACCCCTAAAACAAGGGGTGATATACCCATCCGGGGGAAGGACCGAGTGGAGAGAATTGAGGTATTGAGGTGCACGGTGCCACCAATCGCAGGATGACGGGTTCGAGAAGCGGGTGAAGGACAAGGGAGATTGGATATTTGCGTCGCATGGGTTCGGGGTGAACAATCCTGGCTTGAGCAAGACGCCCCAGTAGAATTTGTTATATGTCTTTCAAGTGGATTATAACCGGGCTTACTAGCCACTTACAAAAAGTACAAGGCCCCTTAAGTATCCCTATGAAGCGGATACTTTTCCTCCGAGGCGTCCGACTCGGCACGTGCACCAAAGAGTTCCGCCGCCATTTTGAATCGCTGCTGAAGCGATTTCCGGGTTGAGTTGCCCCCAAGTTTCGGCCTTGTGCCGGTCCCATCAGGGTGTGTCAAGTGCTAGGGCTATGCAGGTTTTAGTCTTTGGTTCCATTTTCCCAGGCACATTCATTTGGGCCACTGCCATCACGACCAGTGGGCCAAGTGGGTCATGGATTGCACGGCTCGGCTGCTCAGCCACTCGGCTCGGATTGGTGGGCGAGGACTACGAGAAGGCAAAGATGAAGTGGCTAGCCGGGCGCCCCGGAGAGCCAAGCGTTTGGTTTTTGCAGCTGAGCACCTGGATCCGGGTTCTGAAGCGACCATGTCCATTGCCAAATGGCCATGGGTCAAAATCCAAATCGTACCCCCTAAGTGAACATCCCAATCCCCACTAACATAGACCGGTGCACCTACCCCAAAATGGTACCATTGGTTTTGACCCACAGCCAAGTAGGAGGGTAAGTGAAAGGGAGAGGCGCTGCTTTGAGTGGCCAGGTTGGTTGTGACTCACTGTGTCGCTTCCATACCTGGGTCCTTGAAGCAAACGGCTCTGCCTCGCAGTAAAGGGATCTTCTTGCTGGGATTTTCGCAGTTCAGGTGGATAAATCATGACAAATGAACCCAGCCAGGTCGGAGGTGCCCTCCACCGTTCTAGTTCATCGGCATATCAACTTCTTCCGGCCTCATAAGCAATTTGCATGTCCCAACAAGTGTTGGGCGTCCCTTTTTATCCTTCAAGGGGCTTGATTGTGTGGATTTGGTGGTATCGCGTACAGCGCGGTTTTCCCTTGGGTTTCTTGGTTTCCCCCTGGGTTTTCCCTGGGTTTTCCATGTGGTTCCCCGAGGTTTCCTGGGATTTCTTCTGGTTCCCCGACATCCTTCCAGCGCCGCGCCAGCCCAGCGCGGTGGAGCCCATGGACGACACCGGGCTGGCGGCCCAGCGGAGGCTGCAGGACCCGGGCGCCCGGGGCGCCTTCCGGGGCTTGGTGGCTTGGCGGTTTGGCGGTTTGGTGGCTTGGGGGTGTGGGGGTGGCGTGGTTTCCCATTTAGATGTTAGTTCTTGTGTGGACCTGCACGGTGTAAAGTGCTCCAGGATCTACTACCCACTGCCCGAAATCCAGGTGCGGTTGCAGACAATCGGAAGCGGACGCCTGCCCAGAACCTGGCCACATCGGCCAGGATGAGGCTCGAGCTGACCTGTCAGCTCGATTCGCGCGTCATTTGGCAGCTGGTGCCCTTCGGGGCCATGTTCGTTCGGCACCGAATGCATTTGGATGTCCTTTGGCTTTTCAGGCCAATGAAATTGGAAAAACACCTCACAGGACTAGAGGAATGCAATGCCATTCGCTGCCTCTTAAGGGACACATTGAATTTGGGCCAGTTGATAAGTCACCTTCACCAGCAGTTTCGAGGATCCCCTTGCAAAACAAATGGTTTTTGGACATATCCCTGTCGTGGCTGGGTTTTGCGTGACTGTAGCAAGTGAGCAGCTAGTGTGGTGTTTTGCCGCCCGGGATTGGGAAGTCAATTGGCCAACCCCCGAACTTCCAAACCGGGCCCCGGACCAATGAAGGATCTCTAGCCAATTTCGGCCAAGGTTCCCAAAGATCTGCACCAAGGGTCCCCCAAAAGGATACAACCAGAAACTTGCATGTGCTTCAGATGCTTCTCTGTCCCTCTGTTGGCTTTAAAGGGAAGAGACATATCACTACTGGACATATGAGTTTTTAGTGTTTTTTTTTTTCTTTCAGGGGACAACTACTTCACATGGAGAAAAAGCACAACCCCCTCCCCCCCCCCCCGGGAAAAAAAAAATCTCAAGCGCCCTCCCAGCAGGGGAGGTCCTTCTGCCAATGCATCACGAATATTTGTTCAGCGGGTCGGATAGGAGCTGATCAAGCGCCGGGACCGCTTGCAGCGGCAGTTGGAGGCGCTCAAACGCCTAGAGGCTGGAGGGAGAGTCGGAGAGGGGAGGGGGGGGGGAGGTTTGGGGCGGCTGTTGCTTTTTTGGGTGCTACAGGGCCGCGCGCTTAGGCGGGGGTTGTTCATTGTTGATTCTGGGTCAAAGTTGGCACATAGCTTCTAATCGTCCCTAAAAGAAACCAACTTTTGGTGTTACACGTTTTCCAGATCTCCTACTTAGCCCCCCAATTTTGTTTGGGTCTTTGTAGGGTGTTGAAGGGGTGCGACCGGATGCGGGTTTGTTCCCCAGAAAAGGCCCCCCTCGAAAAATGGCAGATTTGTTCATCGAAGTTCTTTCAAAGGACCCTCAAAAGGAAGCCCTCAGAGAAAGACTGACCCGTTCGTGGTGAACGTGTCCGAGGATGTTGCGTGTTGCTTTGTCTTTTGGGTTCAGCTCTTATTTTGCACGCTTCCCCTGTTGCTGGTTTCTGGCAGTTTTTTGTAGAGTGTCCTTTGGATAGTTTTGGAGCAGGCTGTGAGCTGCGTGAGAGAAAGCGGGATGCCATATGTACTGAATCCCCAAAGGGAACAAACTGCGTAGAGGTGTCTTGCGTTTGGTTACGTTACCAACAAGGAATCGGAGACTTTACGAGGTGGGCGTTGATTGATGCGCCGATAGATGTGGGAGTTGCCACAAGCACTACCTACATGTCCAACCCAAGCAGGAAGGTTTCTTTGCGCGATCAGCTTCTTTGATGTAAGGAAGGCTAGCAGCCGCAACTCAAAGACAGAAGTCCGTCGTCTTGCCTTTGAACTTCGCTTGAAGCACACGGTCCGTATATTGTATTCGATCCTTTCTCTCGGGGTAGGAGTCAAAGGTCAGGAAAAGCAGGGGGGCAGTGTCTCAACGCAGGGATTGTTTATGCGGCCAGGCCGATGAGCTCACGCCGCTCGCCTGCAAGATGCAGGGTTTGCATGAGCTCGAGCCAACGATCACTCAGACCTCCGGCATGGAAGCCAGAGCTCTTGGGCGGGATCAGGGATCGCCTCGAGTGCATTTCAGGTGATTTTGCTCGGGGTTCAACACCCCTTTGGATGGAAAGGACTTGACTGCGATTGTGGGACTCTCGAAGCCCAACCTGCGATTTGTCTGGAGGGAAAAATGGGGGAGGGAGCCAAAATAGGCCCTTATTCAGCTAATGAGGCAATCATTTGGGGCTTCTTGGGGCTCCCTCCCTCCCCCACCATCCCATACATGTTTTCGGACATGGCAGAAGGGCAAAGCTTTCGCGGCAACTTGATCTATGGACTGAATCTTTCAGGTTGTCCAACGGCTTCCAGCGGAGATTTTGGCTCAAACCAACAGGTAAAATGGGGCGCGGTTGTCGTGGGTGTGCCACTTGCAGGGCGGCTTGAAACGACCCTGGTGTGGTTGCCATTGAAATGGGCTAAGGCACTGCCGTCTTGTCAACCCCCAGAAAAGAGTGTACGCAAAAGCAGCAACAGGCAGCACGCACCGGGTGGACTGGTAGCAGCAGCAGCGTAACTGACAACCGATAGCACCCAAACAGCATCCAGCAACACACATCACCATCTTCCCCCGACTCAACAAGAGCAGCTCTGAACCAGACATGACGCACATCTTCCACACTGCCTCCAAAACCCCCCTGCCTTTTCCTCCCGTTTTTTCATGGACCCCCCCCCCCCCCGTCCCCCCGCTTTTCCTCCGGTTTTCACGGGGGAACATGGCGTCTTCGGCCCGGGCGCTTCGCGCGCCGAGGGCCTCGGAGCTGGAGCAGTTGGAGGCCCTCGAGGACCAGCTGCAGATCGCCCAAAGGCGGCTCAGCGACACCGCCCTGCTGCCGCTCGATCCGCGCTGGGCATCGGGCCGTGGGTCCGTGGGTCGGGGGTCGGGGTTTTCGGGCGCGCCGCGTTGTTGCGGTTTTTTCTTTTCTTTTTTTCCCCCGGTGGGAAGCGGTGTTTTTGGTGGTTGTTGTTTTTTGTTTTCCCGCCCCGGAGGGATTGATGGTTGTTGTCGGTTTTGCTTTGTGCGGCTACCATGCGGGAGGCGTTTCGAATGCGGTTGGTGGTTGCAAACATCTCCACGTAAATCATGTCACTAATTGAAGATCACATATCCATGTATATATATATATATATACACACACACATGCAGCATATGCACGTGTATGTGTAGTGGGGAGCAGCCCAAAATTCAGCCACAAAAACATGGGGATGGGTCCCTATTGTCCGGGCTCATATCCGGATGCGGAAATCAACGCAGTGCCAGGATTGGCCACACTTCAATCATGTGCTAGGGAACCCAGTTTCCATTGCCAGACTTAGCCAAGTCTGGTCAAGCTTCGTGGTGGTTTCACCAAAAGGCCGCCCCCTATGTCAGAAAGCATCATAGTCGGACCATGGGGAGTGCAGCTTGCTCAGCAACCCACTCACCGCATGTTGCTGCACGTAGAGTCGGCTTAATCGAACTGGTTGATTGATTGGGGACGCAACTCGCCCAGGACGCCTCCGTATCAATCAACCAGGGGTTTGTTCAATCCCGGGTTCCCATTCTCCAGAGACCAGTAGAACAAGGCGGGGCCGTGGCCGATCTGGGAATTTGTTTCCCTTTCCGCAGCCAAATTCGAGGTGTGCTTTGCAAGCCGACTTGGGGGGGGGTGGGCACTTAAAGGGGCGATCGGGACTTAGTAAGTGGTTGGAAGCATGGTGCTTACTTGGGTGTTCCGCCAAACTCGTATATAGTTGTTGGTAGCCTAGGTTATAGCCCACTTATGAGTCGCCCTAAGTGGGGTTATGCTTGTTAGAAGGGGGTTACCTTAAATGCCCAACCACCTAACGTGGCCGAAAATCCAAGTACTAAGTACACTTCCCCTTTGGGTGAGGATGGGGGTGGTGATTTTTATAAGCTCAGGGATATTTGCGGGTTTGCAAGGGGGGTTGCAAGCGATCTGAAAAAGAACACATCGGCCAAATCGATGAGAGACGCTTTGATCTTCTCCGAGCTTCACGTGTTTGTGATGCTCTGCAGGATTCTCCGATGGTAATTCAGGTTAGTTGGCAGTCCTGGCATGTCCTAGCCGCAAGGGTGTGGATTCGCCCTTTTGATTCTTTACATGGTCGTGGGTAGGCCCCCAGGCAGATATCAGGCCTGGATGACTCAAGATAGCCTCGCTGTCCGAGGATTAAGGAGCGCAAGCAGGAGCAGCGCAGTGCGCGGAAGGGAGCTGGCAAGGGAGAGACCGAGCGGCCAAAAGCAGATGATGGTCGCTTTGGGCGGCTCTGGGTGGGCAGTTTGCTGGGTGTCGTATGGGCTTCTACGGGTTTGGGGGGGGGGTGGGGGAGGAAGAAGTTTCTTCGGGTCCCGAATATTTTCCCGCTTCTCTGCGATGGAGGGGGGGAACATATAGAACTATTGTGGTCTCCCTTTGGTTTCTCGCTTTCAGCAACCATGCGTCCCCAAGCTTCTTCAGTGGTCGGGTTCGCGTTTGCGCGCACAAGTGACGTTCTGCCCGTTTTGCCTTTGGCTCAGCTTCAGAGCCCCCCCGATGGTGGCCGTGGGTACATCTAAAGCTGGCATGTCGCGGGTGGAAAGATATGCCAAGGAGACTGGCGCATCCCATTCTTGAATTAGATGGTCCTTTAGTTGGTAAGGTCTGGGTGGAGATAGGTTCATCCAATTCACAAAAGCCGACCTTGGGAATTGTGACATGGATTGAGAACAGTGCGAGGTTGTAGCATAGGTGTCTTATCTCTTGGGTCTGACCATGGCGACCGTTTTACGGCTTGGGAGTTGTTGGAGGTCTAAACGGGCTGGGAAAGGGTGCGGTTCGTTTGATTTCTTGGATTTATCTACCCCTACGCCGACGGCTTGGCGGGCTGGCGCTGGTGCGCTGTACGGAAATGCTTCTGAAGCCGCTCGACGCAAATGGTAGTGTGTTTGTCTGAGGGTGACGTTTCACCTTGGTTTTGAATGGAAACCAAGAGGAAAATCAATTCGTTTTTTGGGTGCCCGCATTTTGAAAGCATATGTTGGAGAGTGTGGCAGGAAAAGAGGTGAAGATGTCGGAGTTTGGGCACCAAAAAACAAGTCCCTCAGATATATTTCACCCTGCCAGTGGAGCTATGCTTCTCTTGCCCCACGCACCAACTTGCAGTCTCCTCCTAAGACTGTTCTCTTTGGGGTCTGGATTGAGCTTTAGGAGCCCCCCGCTTTCTGTGCCAAGAGAATGCATTCCCTTTGTGACAAAGTAGAAAGGACGGACCCCTTGTGGTATCGCCGACTTCGGCACGTGTTTTGCAATCCACCATGCTTGGTAACTTCTTTCTTCCACCCGCCTTGTCGCCGGGGGTTGAAAGGGACACAGGAAAACCGCAATCCAGTTGTGGGGGACCAAATTCCAGTAGAAAAGGGTCATTACAGAGGAAAAAGTAAGCAGGAAGCTTTGAGGTTACTCAGGTTTATTGAACCTCTGTGTATCTTTCCTGGTGCGGGGGAGTTTAACATGGTGGCGCTGGTGCGTCCCGATTTTCTGGTGGGTTCTCACTGATGGCCCGTACTGAACGGCTTCGGGGTGTATGATCCACATCCCACGCCTTCAAGGACAAGCCCCCAGTGTCATCTTCAAGCCCATGGCCACTGGAGACAGCTACGTTGTATTTAGCCTGCTATGCGAGGTACAAACCACCCCAACAAGGGTGCCCTCAAAGAAAGACACTTACATGTCTTTGCCAAAGAACCCATTTGAAAACAGTCTGTGGCCTTATTCACCAAGTGATTGCTTGTTTCCTTGAGTGAAGGTTGCTTTCATTGAGACCTCTCGCATGGCCCCCAGAACGGTGGTTTTCCTTCGGGTGTTTCTTGAAAGCCACCAAACAAAGGATACCCTCAAACACGATACACCCATATTTTCCCTATGTGGAGTGCATAGATAGACAGATAGATAGATAGACAGACACATAGATAGATAGATAGATAATAATTAGATGGATAGATGGATATGTGAATAGATGGATAGATGGATAGATGGATAGATAGATAGATGTATAGATAGATAGATCCAGTGGTTTCAAACATGACCTGCTCGCCTTAAGAAGAGCGTGAGCTTCTTTTGGTGCCACCAGGTATGCCCTGGCGCATTCCGGCTGCACACGGGACCTGGGGGGGTTGGGGGGTTGGGGGGGGGGCAGGTGGGGCATGGCGAGGAACCAGCAGATTCCCTGGTCGCCTTTACGGAAGCCAATGACAAAGCAACAGGAAGTTGTTTCAACAGGGAGCTCTTTCTCAGAACTTCGGTTTCAAAGGTGAACGGATCGGGTTTTTCTTGTCGGTTTTTGTTTTTGGGTGGTTTCCACGGGCGAACGTGTCGCTAGTGACACGGACCTCAGAGATTGGGGAGTTTTTGAATTTTGGCAGAACTCAGTTTTTATCCGGCCTTCCATGTGGACAAAACCCGATTCGCACCAGTTGGGATTGGTGTTTTTTCGTATTATAGGGTTTCGCCTATCTCAAGTGGTGCAGGATTTCATTTCGTCCACCCACAGTGTCCTACTCCAAATTGAGGACATTTGACCGAACTCTGGGCATATCCGTCTTGTCCAATGGCTGTCGGCACGTGCTTCTTCTTTGGTTTCTGCATGTTGGGATACGTTGGGGTTCTGCTGCACGTTTGGCGTTGTTGTTTTTGGGAACAGCTATCCTTGGGAGAGATACCAAAACGAGGTTGTATGTTTTAAACTTATTCTCTTGAATGCGCGCTTTTTCACATCAAGTCGGACGACAATTCCTCCCCCCCTCCTCCCCCCCGTGCCATGGACACCTACAGCCTATGTTGCAGCCAAGAACCCCAAAAAAGAACAAAATCCTACTTGAAGGAGGTTTGCAAAATGGACCCTAAGTATCCATCATCTCCCCCCCGCCCAGGAACCTCAAAGCAACTGGCCACTGCCTGTCGGGTTCGCTTGGCCTTGCTCCTGACCCGAAAAACCCTACACCCACCCCAAACGCAGTGACCTGGGGACATGCATTGTGGGGCCCACGCAAAACTCCAAAACCAAACCACCTGCTGAAATGCCCCATGTCCTCTTGAGTAAACAGGTCTGGACGCGCCAACCCCAAAACACGGGCACCCTCGTTCCCACATGCAGCACCCCACTGCTTCGACGGTGAAATCCGCCCGTTGGAAGAGAGCTTCTTGCACAGCTGGCCACAAGGTGTATATTGTGGATATACAATTTGCGCATGTCATGTGTGTTTTCCATTTGCTTAAGAATATGTTTGTATTTTCCCCTGTTGGTTTTGAAGGGAATCTTATCACTATTGGAAATAGTTTTATTTTTTCCGGGGGTCTTAACCAAATGGAAGGTGTGATATGGATATTGGCATATGCGTATGTTCACGTATGTATTAAAAACAGTTTTGTTTTTCTTATTACTTCTTTAATCTAGGCATGCATCTGCACGGCATAGCATCGCATGACATATCATCTTCCATCCTTGGCACAGGCCCAAGATGGTCTACCAATGCAATTCAAGGGGAATCAGATTATATCCCGGTTGCTTGGGTGTTCGGCCAAGTTGACAAGTGATTGGCAACCCAGCTTAAAACCTGCTATTAAGTCCCCCAAGTGCTGTTAGCCTGGTTGTAAATAACATAGGTTACGATACCAACCACTTCCTAACTTGGCCGGACACTCAAGTAGTTGGGGGAGGAAACCTTCGTCACATCCAGGGAGCCCTGGAATGGGCTCCCATGGCTCTGACTTGGGTGTGGATCAGGGACGGGATCTTTTGGGGCCGATTCCCATGCTTGAGCCGCACCCAGTTGGCTGTGGGTCAAAACCCAGGGAACCCCTGGTGAACATCAACATGGGTGGCAAATGGATGTTCATCCCCAAAATGGAGCCATAGGTTATGCCCCATGGCCAATTGGGTTGGTGTTTCAAGAGAAGCATCCTAGGGGACCGATCCCTATGTTGCGAAGCCGGACGGACGGGGTGGCCCTGTCGGGCGGCCCAAGGCTGGTGGCGTTGGCCTGGCTGTGCTGGATGCCCTGGGCGTTTTGCAGCTGCAGTTGGTAAGGTATGCCCCAAGGGGGGGGGGGGGTTGAGCATCGGCGTATGCAGTTCCTGGCGCCTTTGCAAGGGAAAACACGTCAGGCGGTATCTATAAATGGCTTGGTGGTGATCTGTTTGAACAGGGCGTTGCAACGCCATTGCCAAAAAACAGCCCGGTCATTCTGTTGAATTTCGGCTTTCTGGAGTGAAATCTGAAGATCACCTCCCCCCCCAAAAAAAACCCGAGGGCAATGGCCAAGTCGGGTGGTCTCGTTGAGGTTCTCGCTGTCCCCGCGCATGCGGAAGGGTCACCGCGCCTGGGCCAAAGTGCAGAAGGGCCGGCGCCGGCCCCGTGACGCGCTGCCGCTGCGCCAGGCGAAAGTCGTTCGCGTCGTTCGCTGGAAGGAGCGGCCGCGGCAGTTGAGGGCCCAACACCCGGGGCCATTTTACTAGGTGCCCTTTTTAACCCCTTTTCTGGTTGGGAGGGTTCAACCCTACTAAAATAGACTACAGAGAAAAGTTGATACCCTTATTCTAACTAGGTGAGCCACAGTCAAAACCGACTCGGGTAGATGAAGGTTGGTAAGGAGATATACTCCCAACCATAAATGGTTGCAGCCACCTTGTTTACTCTTTACACGGTTCTGGGTAGACCATGTTAATTATACCGGGGATTGATTCTGACTCAGGTGGTTCTACTAGATGGTTTCATGGGGTTCATGGTGAGGCCTACAAAAAGTCCTTATAAGCATGTTAGTAGAACGAACCGTCAATGGGTGATCCATATGTTAACCTTTATTACTTACAACCGTGTTGTAGAGTGACTTTTAGGCGCTATCAGGGCCTCAGTGAGGGAATTCAAGGGAGGTGGTTTGGATTGCTCTTGGACAAGCAATTCTGCTGGGATAGACGAAACCCGATTTGAATGCTGGGATAAAAACTATCAAGTGCGAAGCAGGCAATTCGAAGCACAAGAGGTAGCATGGCATGATCCCAACAAATCAGCGAGACATAATTTCTCGTAGAGCCGCCACACACCAAATATTGGCGCTCGCCCATTGCTTCTTCGTATTGGAAAAACATGTGTGTTTTTTCCATTACTGTTTTTGCGGATGGGCGGCAGCATGAAGATACCGTCCCGCCGGCTGAGCTGCACACTGACTTGAAGTGGATGGATATCCCTTGACCAAAGCGATCATTGAAAGCGGCAACCCTCCCCCTGACCCGTTTGCTTTCCGCTTGCCGCCACTTTCTTGAGGGGCCGGTGTGTTTCCTTGTTCGTTGAGCCCAGGAGCGGCGGTCGTGCCTTCCAACCCTTTCCGACCTTTCCCACCCCTCAAATCCCTCCAACCCCTGAAGCCTAACTTAACCAAAACTGTTTAAAACCACCCGCAGCCACCCCGAAGCACCCACAACCACCCGCAAAACCACCCGAAACCACCCAAAACCAGCCCGAAACCACTCAAAACCACCCCCGAAACCACCCGCAACCCCATGTCCCCGAACGATGCGCCAGAGCCAGCTGAACCTGGCCTGGGCCCGGGCCTCCAGCCGCCACCTTCGCGAGCAGAGCCGCATCCGCCGCACGCTGAAGATGCTGCAGGAGCTGCTGAGGGACCCGGTCCTCGCCAAGGAGAGGGAGGGGAGGAGCGACGAGCGACCCGGGGAGGGGAAGGAGAATGGAATTGTGGACGCATAGCTATCAAATTTCGCGGGAGATTGTTTGATCAGTAAGCCAAGCAAGTAAGCCTGTCGGGCGCAGTCCCGCCCGACGCGGGGGACGTGGGATGATTGACACTCAGGCGTGGGCACGTGATTGCTGGAGCCTCCAGCGGTGTGTTGAACGGCCTCTGAATCGTTTTGGGGAACCACTCCCACAAGTGCAGAACGCGGTTGCCCTTTTGAAGCGGGGTCTTGTACTTTCCAAGTCTTGTGCTGTGTGCTCACAGTTTCCAGAACATGGGGTGTTGGTGCATACCAGGCGCCAAACAAGAGCATTCGCCTTTTCCGACACAAACACATTCAAGCGCTGTCCGCGACATATCTCTTCCCCTTCCGATTGCTCCCCGGCGTCAAACGGTGGTTGCTATATTTTCGTTTTCGCCATGTTCAACATCACTTTTCGAGCCTGTCAGGCAAATGCGTCAATGGCAGCGGGGACACCTTGGTAGCCCTTTGCCACCCGCGAATGTGAGCTGCTTCTCTTGCTCTCAGGAGTTGGAGCATGTGGCCTGTCAACCAGAGGCGCGTGGGGTGGGTTGGGGTTTGTGGGTAGGGAGATGACTGTCTCTTCAAGACTCAGCCACATTTCCCTGATGTTTCCATGTAGTTAGGCGAGAAAGAGGCTTGCAACTGGATTGCAAAAGGGATACACAGATTATACGTTGTTGGATTGGCATCTTTTGTCACAATGCCAACTACTAGATTGACTCCAGCACTCACACACGTCTGCATGTTATCGAGACGGGAAGAGTCAATATCAATATTATGTCATAGCTTCTTGTCTGCAAGCTGTGTTCCCACCAATATTTTAAGCTGTTTTACTACCCATTCTGGCTTGCAACTCGTTGCATTAGTTTGCTTTGTTCCTTCGACAGCACCGTTGGTCTCATTTGCAGGGTACCCTCTTTTCAACTCCTGGAAGCTGACGATCGGAAGGTGGGTGAGATATCGCTTGCCAACCTCTTATATCCACTTCCCTGATGATTCTAGGGGTTGATTTCTTTTCCATTCTTTTCAACCATCGTTCTTTCCAAACACCGGATCTGTTCTCCCTGGGTTTCCGGAGGTTTTCTAGAAATATCCGGATCCCTGAGAAGAATGGATATGGAAGGTACCTCTAGAGTCCACCACTTTCTTACATATATATATATATATATTTTTCTTTTTTCCCTTGTTGGTTTTGAAAGGAACTCATCACTACTGGACAATATGTTTGTTTTTCCCTGGGGCCTTAGCCAAATGGAAGTGATGATGGTCTTTTTCTCCCCGCTTTCAGGTGCTGGAGCTGGGGGCGGCTGGGCAGGTGGCGGCGGAGGCGGTGGTGGAGGCTGTGCGCCGGGTGCTGGGCGAGGAGGTCTCCCTGCGGAGGCCGGAGCCGGTTGGTGGGTGGTTTGGTTTGGTCAGGTGGTTTTGGTGGGGAAGGGGAGGGGTTCAGCAGACCTTGCTTTTGTAAGATGGCGCAGAGTTAGTCGTAGATGGTGTTTTTTTGTTGTGGGATGAAGGCGTTTTGGTTGGGGGCTGGAATGTCGCTTTTTGTCGCGGTTTCAGCGTCGTCTCTGCTTTTGTGGCGAGCTCAGTTTTGGTGAAGAACACTTCTTTGCCGCGAAAGAATAAGATTCGAAGAACCATCTCAAGCAGGACACTGAAGAAAAGGCATCGGGGGAAATGCAATTCGGAACATGTCTCAATAATATTGACAGGAAGACAAGGGATCTGGGAGCTGAGCTCCAGAAAAGCCGGCTGGAACAAAGTCCCTAGCTCCTGGTTATCTGGGGGTGGCTTTTTCTGTTTCTTGCGGGCCTTTCTGACTGGTTAGTGGCTTTAAAGCGAAACCAGAATTCGACCACCGAAGCCATTCTCGGGGTCCGGCGCAAAAAAAAAAACAACCAACCGCCCCATTTGAATTCTATGCATTTCTTTTTTTACACAACGGCAGACCCATTTGAATTCTGCATATATATTTTTACAGACCCATCTGATTCTAAATTCCATGCAGCTGGATCGTTTTTTTCCCCCAGGGGTCCCTTCATCGGAGTGCAGCTGGAGCGGCCGCTGACGCACTACGACCGCAACGACCTGGCCATGGTCCTGGAGGAGCTGAGGGTGACGCGTTGACCCCAGAAGCCACCCCTGCTGCAAAGGGGGGGGGTGCTTTTTTGTCTGGGTGAAGTGTGGGTTGGAATCGGACCACTTTTGGGGGGGCCGAAAACGCCCCCCCAAAAAAGGCTGGGGTGGATGAATATGTAAACATGGCCATTTAAGGCTGAGGGAAACCAAAAGGAAAGCTGAGAACCAGCTGTCGGGTCCAACTCCTTCAAGTTGCAGGGCACGTATTTCATGCACAAGGGTATCGGCGCTTCTGCCCACTTTTCGCTGCGCTCTCTATTTGCGATTTTGCTCTGCTCTACTTCCCAGCACTTCGCTCGGCGTGTTTACCGCGTGTTTTGCACATTTCAACTCTTTTTTCCGCTCGGATGCAAGGCGGTTCGAGTGCTGTTGACCTTTCTCGCGAAGTTCCACTCAAAGTGAGCTGGCGTCGCCCTTCAATAGCTTTCGTTTGCCTCTGCCTTCAAGTAATCTTCCCAAGGCGGCCTTCGGAAAACACAAGGGCATAGTCTGACGGGGTTGACGGTGGCGCCTGGTCCGTTGCATCTCAGATCCGGGCTTTTGCTTTTCTATCATAGATGTGATATATCGAAGCAACAGAAGATCAAGACTTGGAGGTCAGGAACGTCATGCTGTTGCCATGGCCCCAGTTGAACTTCATGCTGACAGCGGCTGTGGAGCCGTGGCAACGGCCTTCCAAAACGGAAATGAACTACGTGCTGCCATCATTGCTTGGCAGTCGAAAGCTGGGAGAAATCGGCTGATCTCAAGCTACGACAGCAATGGGATGTCTCAAAGGTGACACATATGAGGCCAACTGTTCTCCAAACAATGGCAGTTCAATGAAGATGCAGGAGCCTGGAACGCCTCAGCAGTGGCCGACATGTACTTCGTGTTCTACCGTGCAGAGGCCTTCAACCATCCGATCGGATCATGGAACACCTCTGCAGTGACCAACATGTACCTCACTTTCTTGGGTGCCAAAGCCTTCGACCAACCAGTTGATTTGTGGGATTTGTCTGCCCTGACAAGCCATGATCATAAATTTCACGCACTGGCGCCGCCGTGCGAAGCAGGCAGGGGTCCCAGCCAGAACGGACTCACGTGCGAGCTCGGCAGTACGCCCCAGCTGGCGGCTTTTGCCAAGGACGTCCTGCAGGCACCAGGCCCTCAGAGGAGCGCGACACATGTGTCGAGTGCTCGATGCTTCACTACTCCGTGAGTGGCCTTGACGAGTGCCTAGCATGCAACCTGCCGTGTTTTTTGGTAGAGCAACACTGTGTATGGTCACTTTGTTTGGCAGGCTTGGCTGTTACACCTGCTGCATTGGCGCATCCGTGCAAGGAAGGCTGGAAAGAGATATATGCGGAGTTGTGGGATGAAGGCCCAACCTTTGGGCCACTCATGCCAAGAAGTTGGACGGCCTTGCGCTCCAAAAGGCGACAGAGCCAAAGAGCCGGTGCGAGCATCACATGTCCCCTTTGAGTTTTCGCAACTGGCAACTGGCCACGGAACGCAGCGGCAAAGATGACCCACGCATAATTCTGGATTTCTGGTGAGCCGATGGCTGAAGACATGATTTGCCCTCGTGATTGCAGGGCAGGCGCGCTCGTTGACTCGATGCCCCGTGAACACCGTCGGGAACAGACACATGTCATGAGCTGGACCTGGAAATGCCTCGTGCAAAAAGTTGCAAAGTGCGTTGCAGACGTTTTGGGACGGCCTGGGAGCGCAAAACCGTGCCACTTGTTCGTGTGTTTCTTTGTGAACTACCTGTATACCGCATCATTGTGGAAGGAACGGCGGGGAGCGAAAACATCTTGAAGATGTTTTCGAGTGCAAACTGCAACGAATTGGCAAGATGGTGGCAATTCTGGACACGTGGGATGCACGAATCTACCTCACTCGTATCCAGTGTAACGAGCACTATGTGACTATGTGGCCTCCACCATCCAGATTGAGGTTCAAGGCAGCGGCCAACCACCTCCAAGCGCAGATCGAATTCGGCTCTGCAGGCAGGCAGGTGATCGAAGACTTGAGTCAGGCGGATTCCAAGAAGAGCTGATGCCTGAAAGTTGGAGGAGATGAAAGTGAAGTCCTGGATCCAGGACACCGTGGGTTTCCATATGGCTGTGGGACAAACCCAATGGTACCATTCTGGGGTAGGTGCACCACCCATTTTAGTCTATTTTACTGGGGGTTGGGATGTTCACTGGGGGTACGGGATTTTGACCCATGGCCATATGTTTCCATGCACTTGACGTTCACGTCACGAATGTCATGACGACGTGGATGGGGAAAGTCGTAGAACAAAGCACGTGCACGGAGGTGCCAAAAAAGCGTTGGTCAGGTGACATCAAGCAGCAAAGGCGGTTCCTGGCCAAATTTTAGTGCAAATGGCCTCCGGCCACAGTTGCTGCCCCAGGCTTGGCTGGAATCCCATGATCAGCTGTCACCAAAGCCACTGTTCCTGGACACTTGCCAAACTCTCATGCCCAGAACCAGTTGAATCCCATTTTCTGACCCTTGGGCCGAAGGCCGCGTCGGCCGTTTTTAGTGCTGTCAGAGGCGCAGCCCAAATCTGTTCCTGCCGATCCATTGGGCAGTTTGGATGGCAGGACAGGAATGACATCCACTGGCAGTTGGGAAGGATGAAACCCGATTTGACTGGGACAAGCCACCTGGTGACATGGATTGTCCATCAGTACTTGCTCCCTTTCCACTCGCGCGCGCACCATCACGTTTTGGGGGGTCTACCCATGGACGGCTGTTTGTTTGGATTGTCAAGGTGTCCTGAAACCCTCATGTTTAGACCATTTAATAGGCCCCAAAGAATTTCTACCATGTTTGCGCAGCATGACTTCTGTCCTTGGCTTGGTTTTACAGCAGCCCCAGAGCTGCGTTCCTATTTCAGCCGCAAACTTGGTCCCAGGTTTTGGTGTCGCAGGATCTCGGCTTCGAGGCCCACATCACCCGCCACGGCGTGACGCTGAGGGTCGGGGGCCGGCCGCTCGGCTGATTTTTGGAGCCGAGGTGGTCCAAGCAACTGGGATCAACTTGGATTTTTGGTGCAAAGGTGGGCAGCATTTGGGGGAAAAACAAAACATGTCCATCTAGGGGTTGATTTCTTTTCCATTTTTTTCAACCATCGTTCTTTCCCAAAACCGGATCCGTTCTCCCTGGGTTTCCGGAGGTTTTCTAGAAAGATCCGGATCCCTGGAAAGAATGGACATGGAAGGTACCCCTAGAGTCCACCGACTTTGGAGGTTCCAATCTCTTGAGATTCATAGCCAAAGAATGAGGACCCCCTCCACAAGCGGGGGCAACCAACCTGAAAAGTGCTCAAGCGAGCGGCCCCCGGTGCTATTCAGCGTTCCAAGGGCAAAACGTTCCTAACCCCTCAAAGGCAAGGGCCCTTAAGCCTGGTGTCTTTCTTGCCCCCTTCCACTGAACCACAATCAAAGCCGGGGTAGCGGAAAGCTAGCAAGGGATAGTCGCCAGAAATCGGTGCGGGAATCCGCCCTTCAAGTTCTATACACGAGCGCGAGTCGTTGGGTTTCAACCTAACTTATCTTCCTTGGGCAAAACCAAGCCCAACCCATGTTCGGCCAGAGGTTCCCTTGGTGATAGGCTTGTAGGGAACCTTCCATTTGCTTAAGCTTTTTCCATTTGCTTAAGCTTTTTTCTTTTTTTTTTTAATTTTCCCTTGTTGGCTTTAAAAGGAACATAGCACTACTGGAAATATATTTTTTCCAGGGGTCTTAACCAAATGGAAGGACGCCTTTTGCGATGGGTTTTTGGCTTGTGACGTCTCAGGGACTTGGAGGTGCGCCTGGGTCTGGCCTCGGAGCTGGAGATGCGGATGGGAGGCAACGAATGGGCCTGGGGCGCGGGTTCGGCGGAATTTCCGGTGGCTGTGCTCAGCGGGTCGCCTGTGCTTCGAGTGGTTGCACACATTTGTTTTTGTCTTCTTTTTTGTTTTGTTCTTCTTCTTCTTTTTTAACAATAAATACGGTGTCCAAATCCCAAAGCGAGGGGTGCCCAGCAGATGGTCCCGATGTTCACGGGTCGCAGGCGATGCGAAGCGTTTCGGGCTTCGGGACCTAGACCCGGGCTCAATTCAGAAGCTAAGAGGACTCGCTGATTTTGAACCACAGCTCGCCAAATTGAGTCGCAGGGGTGGCCTCTGGAATCATGGAATGGAAAAGCAAAGAGGAGACCCGAACTCCATGGGGTCACCCAATTTTGACACACTCCCATATTTCACTGCTGGTGGTGCCCCAAACGTGCCGAGCTATTGAGCAACTGTCAATTTTCCGTGAGCAAACAAGGAACCATGACCTTTCCAGGCAGCTCCGAAGCTTCAAGCAACCAGGGAGACAACTCCCTTTTCTGGGAGAAGGGTAGAAGCAACGACACAGGCAGGAAAAGCATACGTATCGTAATCATTTGTTGGTTCTTAGAACCACCTTTACTTAATTTATCCCCCCCCCTGTTTTTTTTCTTCCTTTTTTTCTGGGGGCCAAGTTGCTACGGAAGCGTCAAAGGCACCCGAGTCGACGCGAACAAATTCCCGGGTGCAAGGTGTGAGCCCCTTCCCGGTGTCGCACCTCACGGTGTCGGAGGACTGGGAGGTGGCCGCGCCCTGGTCCCACAGATCCCTGTTTCGGGGGGCGTGCCATGTGCCGGAGATGCGTTTGTTTCCAGGGCCCAAGGGCTTAGGTACGAGGAAGCTGCAAACAAGTGCCCCCCAACTTTTCAAGTTTAGGTGAATCCATTTGCGGAACGGAAGCAAGTTGTTGGTGTTCGCTTTCCCTTGTTGGCTTGATGAAGGGATCGAGTTCACTGTATGATTTCCAGGAGACTCAAGCAACTGGAGGGGGTGGGAACTGGGTGTGGTTCCTTGCGGCTAAAGGTAGCCCCATTTGAAATAAAGAGAGAGCGAGAGAGGGAAACCAAACAGAAACTACCCATGTTGGCATCTTTTTGAGGGAGGGAAACCAAAAGGAAAACCGAAGCCATTTTGGGGGTTCCCCTAGTTTGAGACAAACCCAACTGACCTTACCATCCCAGTGATTCCAGTCGGGGCCCGGTGTGTGTCTTTTCTTAAAGGGGGCACAAGGCGGCGCAAGAGCCATATTTTTGAAACCCCCCAAATGTCCCTGTAACCAAGGGAAAATGGCGAAGGGTTACTCTCACTTTCGTCCCTGGAGGAAGAGTGAGGGGGTTCCATTTCGGACTTTAGCCACCTTTTGAGTTTGGACCATTTTGATGATAAACATCAGTTCACACACTTTTTGGCCAATCGACTCAGGAAGTGAATGGCTCCTATGGATCCATCTCCAAGTCACGCAAATTGTGACTAAAACGCCTGGGCTTCTTCCACAAGCGGGGGCAAAGGTCCAGCATTTTCGGGTTCCCAGCGCCCTGTCCCACAACACCTGCAGGTTGCCAACCTGCAGCCTTTGTTGTGCCAAGACCCTTGCGAGGGAGCCATATTTTTGACCGCGGTTTCGCTGAGAATTTATACGCCATGTCGGCGCCCGCAAGTAGCAACGGAGCTCCAGCCTCAGCAGCTTTAGCTGCATGGACCAATGCCCAAGGACCAAAACTCTGAGTGATCCGAGGCTTCCCGTGGTTTCGCTTTCCAGGAACCAACTTTCTACTCTGCCAAGTGGGCATGAAGCGGGCTGATTCATGGGCCAACCGCCTGGTACAGAGATCGTCCGGTTCGAAACCAGCAAAGGAGCGCATGGGATGTTGCACGCAGGCTGGTTCTGAGCCGTCCCGTTTCATACCGAGGAATGGAATGCATGGGAAGTTGTTTCTCGCAACCCGCACGCTGCGCTTGGGTTCCTGCCAGTCCCTGCGCGTTTGCTCAGGATCGGCGCGGCCAGGACGGGGCTTCGAGAGCGATCGTAACATATTCCTTCGGGCTGGGAACCCGATTTTCCCATGGACCTAAGGCCGAAAGGTGGAGACTGTGCGTGAGACACAGAAAGAACACCGGCAACATGTCATTTTGAGGCGGTTCAACAACTCTTGGAAAACCGCTCGCACGCAAACATGACCCAGGAAACTCACCTTACTCCATAGCAGCTTGGCATGGAACCCCAACTACCATCACAGGAATCTCCTTGGAAGAAGCCTTTTGGCAGCCCCACCTTTTTTGCAGAGTCCGGTTCCATGACCCCGGGTTTTTCCTCCCCCCTCCCCCCCCAATCCCCCAATCCCCCAATCCCCCAACCCCCTCCCCCCCCGCACCAGGTCTCCCGCGCCCGAAGCCCGACGCCCGCGTGAGCCGCGAGGAGCAGCTCCGTTCGGCGCCCGAGCTGCGCTGGGCCGTGGACTTGGCCCGGCGCTTCAGCGGGGGGCCCCACGCGCTGCCAGGCGATGGCGTTTCGATGGGCCGAAGGAAGGGGCGCGGTTCATGGGCCCAAGGGGCCGAGGGTGCGGGGATATATGAAGAAGATGGGTGGTACGTAACATGTAAAGTGTTCTGTAAAATGGGTGTTATACAAGATTTATGAATGGGTGATGTCTCTTTAACGTATTTTCTGATCTGGGGCTGATGCCTTCTTCCCTATTTTCTCCAACCATTTATTGTCCCTTCTGCCAGTCCCATGTGCCTGGCATCGAGTCGCACGCGCCCTTCCCCTTTTCTTCAGGTGGAATTTTCTCCAAAAGCCTTGGTAAAAATCAAAATACGGGGGGCCCCAGGCCAGGCAACCCCGCGCCAGCCCGGCCACGCCTTGTCTCGGTCGGGAGGTCTGCAGCTGCGGGGCAAGCGCCAGCGGGGCGGCACGGTGCTGGAGCTGGTGCTCCGACAGCTGGTGCTTCGGATCCAGGAAAATCCGACGCCAACCTTGCGTTTTTGGAAAAACAAATGATGATACCCTCCCGCGCGGCACAGCACATGAGTCACATGAGTCATCAGTTCTCGCGGAGCACACATGGAGCGTTCTAGTGAACCAATGCTGGTTAGGGAGCGCAGGTCGGAGGTCGAGGAAGGGGGGCCTGTCAGCGGGTTGTTCCTCAAGAAAACGAGGGGTGGTCTCTTCTTTTTAGGGGGGAGACCCCGCCAAAAAAGGGAGATGTGGTGTTCCTTGTGGTTCTCCTTGACCACGAAAGGGTAAGGCTCAAAAAGAATGAGAGGCCAAAATGGAGTTGCTCGGGTTCCAGTTGAATCTGCAAAGTGGGAATTATCTTGGCTTATCGCGAACCGGGCGGGGTGAGCAAACCCCGATATTTTTGGAGGACCAATGGAAACCACGCCAGGGTTTGGTGGCGGGAAACAACCGACTGTGGATGGACGAAGTCGTACGCCACCCTAGAATGATGATTTGTCTGCAAATACCACCCAACATGGTTTCAACAAGCCACAGTATGTGCTTGCTTGGGGCCAAACAGTAGGGGCTTCGGGAATGAATCGGACTATCAGTGGGGCCCCCCTCATTCCCAAAGAACAAAGACGAGCAAGTAGAAAGACATGTGGTGTCCATGCTTGTGTATTTCATGGGGGCTGGGGGGGAGGGAGGGGAGGGGGAGGGAGCCCAAATAAGCCCCCCCCCCCTCCCCCCCAGCCCCCCATGAGTATTGCGGTCCCTTGGGCTAATCTTTTCTGCCTTGGAGGTTTCCAAGATGTTGGCTCCGCCTTTGGGGTCGCCGGGTTTGATGGAGTGTCTCAAGAGTGGAACCCTGCGAGGATGGCCGGAAGGTGTTGCCACTCAGCCACCCACCCAGCCACCAACCCAGCCCAAACAGTCAGACTCCGCCAGGAGTCAGAGCCAAGTAAAAACAAAAAACGTGTCCGCACCTCGTGGATCCTCTTCTGACGCGTGGATCGCAGGACCGAGACGCCCAGTCGCTGAACCGCTTCACCGCTGCCCTGGCCACGCAGGGCGAGGACTTCCAGGTAAGCCCCGCGGGCGGGGACTGGGCGGGAAACGGGTGCATTGCCGGGTGTCACCCGGGTAGTTCTTCCCAGTTCCAAGTGGTTTCAGCCGAGTTTCTTCCAGGGTTCCCCCGGAAAAAAAACGGGAGTGAATCCTTCTCCTGGTGGTTTGCCCTTGTTTCCGGGACCTTGAAAATCCATGGAAAACAGAGGGTTCGCTGTTCAAGGAGACCGCGACTCTCAGACTTGCTTGCCCTTTCCAGGGGACACGCATTGAGCATTCTTTGAGGGGCAAATCGCCACTGGATCAAATGGTTCTGGGTCCAGAACAACTTCCAGTTTGTTTTGTTTGGTTCCTGACCAGGAGCCACATGAGGACCCCCCCTACCTTTCCAGAAAGACTTTCAGAACCAGTAGAGCCCCTTCTTTGCAAATACGAACAGGGAGGGTGGAGCCTGCTTTGATTTTCTCTGAGGCTGAGTTGGTCTCCAAATACGAGAATCCTCAAAATGTTTATGACATGGCTGAAAGAGGGCGCTGTAAATGAATTAATGACACCAACCCCTTTCAGGGATTCCCTTCTCACAGTACGTTAAGAAGGGACACCGCACAAAAGTCGGTATTTCCATGTTGGAGGCTTCCCCCTTATTTTGACTCAGATCCCTTGGCGGTTCCCGGCCGTCCGGTTCCATTTGTTTCTTATAAAAGCTTTTTTTCCCAGTTTTTTTTTTTCTCAGCTTTTTAGCTTTTTAGCTTTTTAGCTGCTTAGTGTTTAGCGGGCGGGTTTCCTGAGTTTCCTTGTTGAACTCGCGACACTTGGCCACTTTTGATCCGGGGCTCTGAAAACCGACCGCCCAGAGATCATCCACGTCTCATTCTCGGGCTTTCACGAGGCTCACAGCCTGGGCAGCCAGCTGATGGTGTCCATGGCGCGGGACCGATGCTCCGGGTTTGGATCGAGAAGTTGGGACTGAGTTCGATAGCCAAAAAAGCGATCGCTTTGTTCAGTCGCTGTTGAGATTTTTTTTTGGGGGGTAAAGTGCATGAACAAAAAAACAAAACGGCAATTAACTGGCGATCCAGGGAGCTCGTTTTCTAGTTAGTTCCGGGGCAAGCTAAACGAATGACCACTGCCAGAGGTCTATGATCAGAGCTCACAGGGCCGCCCCAAGATCAGCTCCACGCCCAGACGCCGTAGCTGTCGCCGTTGGGGAAGCGGGTCCATGGTGTCGAATCGCTTGCGGCTCGGCTCCGTTTCAGGAGATGCTGGAGTGGAGCAAGTCTGGCGTCCTGGGGCTCTGGCTCAAGGCCGGTGGATTTCCGATCACCACATTTCCCAGTCGCTGACACTTTGCTGGAAGCGAAGAAGATCATGGCATGTATATACCGTTTTAGACAACCTTACGACACACAAACAAATAGTAACATCTAATCATACCCTTCATACTGTGGAATGCACCAGTTGATAGACTATGACATATCAATGACATAGAACGTTCTGTTGTTCGAGACAATTTCAGACATGGATTTGTTCGAGAATGTGGGAAGCTCCCAACTCGTCTCTTTTTACCTACAGGGCTACCCTCAGCAAAAAGACTCCTCAGCCTGTTGGCGTTTGATTGCCTATGTTCCCCACTTCTGAGGGCATTTTTCATAGGCGCCGTGTCCTTGGTGTATTTTTCCATGAAGGAATGATTGCCGGTTTTTTGGCCCATAGCCCAAAAGATCACATGGAGGTGAAAACGCATCCCTTTGGCCTACCAAAGAACATCATGAACCCAATTTGGAGGGGATTCCCATGTGCCACTGAAAGAACCGGCTCAAATCCAAATCCAAACCACCAATAACATTCATTTTGGGTGTTTTTTTTAGGGTTCTTGGCCACATGTCCATGGCGCTTGTTGTTTCTTTTTTCTCGGGCCCAACTCATCAGGCTCCCCTTTTGGTCTTTGGGCAAACTAGACCCGAAGTGTCAATCATACGGCCCCCCCCCAACCCCTCCCTGCCCCCCCCCCCCCCTGCGTTTGGTTTGTTACACCATTGATCTCCTGCAACCATTTGGCTCAAGGCCCTCTTGTATATAGCATATTGCATTCATGCGATAGCAGTACAAAGGCTTGCAGAGACCGCTAGCAGGAATGTCAGTCAAGTCAAGCCACCCAGGGACAATCCATCCTCCAATCATCCACATTGGCATATTGGACTCTCTCCGGAATAGATCCAGGGACCAAATCAACGACCTCTACTACCACAGGGTACCAGTTCCCTTCTGGGATAGGCACCTGAGGCAGTGGGCCTCAATTTGTGGTAGCGGAGCGGGTTTTCCGCAGAGATCCAAGGGAAGATGTCATCCGATGGAGAAGGCTTCATGGAAGCCTATTCAAGTATGGCCAAATCAAAGGCTATACGGAGGAAACACTAAATTTATCGATGACCGCCAAGCAGCCGCCATCGTACGACGGAAAAGTCAGCTGGTTCAGGTATGAAGAACTCGTGGACGACTGGGTGACCATCACGACGGTGGAAGCACCCAAGAGAGGACCTCTGCTCAAAAGCAGATTGACAGGAGATGCATATATGTACAAGGCAGTCCTCCAAAACGACCTTTTGCAAGATCCTGATGAAGGAGTCAACTATTTCAAGAACACGCTGAAGAAGTACTTTTTGAAAGGTGCGACCAACGTGTATCTGTACAGGCTCCTCAGTTTCTTCAACCATAGAAGGCAGAACCAAGAGTTCCTCATTTTTACCTCAAAATTCGAAATCCTTCTTATGAGATTGAAGGCAGCATGGATGGACTTGATGCCCGTTTTCACGGCACAGTCCCCATCATTTCGACAGTCCGTACAGGACGCAAATGCAAGAACAATTGCTCGACATCAGCAAGCAGCCGGTGTTCGAGCACCGCCTCCAGCCCTGCTCAATGAGGACGATCCGACAGTCCTCAGACAGTATATCCAAGGAATGCAGGACAGATTGCGGGACGCATTTCCCTTCGGGGATAATCTCATTGCACAGTTTTTCATTATTCAGAGTGAATTGTCAGATCAACAAAGAGAGAGACTGACAAGTGCAATGTCATTGAGAAACATCTCACTAGAGAACTACTCCTATGAGATGCTGAAGACACACTACCATGAACTCTTCACATCCATTCAAGATCCATCCATCCGACCTCAAGGAGGCAACCAAAGCAACACATTCTTCATCATCGAACAAGATGAATATGAAGGAGAAGAAGGCTTTTGGGTTGAGGATGAAGAAGGACTTGAAGGATTCATGTCAAACAACGATGAGGAGACATTCTGGGTCCTCGAGGAGAACGATGCGTTCATCGCAAGAAAAGTGTCAAAGTTCCAATATCCCTATGATGGAAACAAAGGTTATCCATCTTATGAGAATGATTGGCAAAGGAAAGGGCGGAAATGACAAAGGAAAATCCAAGACGTTCGCAGCCAGCGCAGAAAAGACGGAGGAGCAGCCCGCCATCCAGCAAACTGCACTATGCATAGCGCCTACCTATGCCGGTTGGACAGACCAAGATTGGGATCAATCATGGACATGGAACGAACAAGGCTGGTACTCATCCCATGAGACATCCAGTACAGGACAAGCGCTAATGGCATTCCATGACGGATATGAGCATCATGAGAAAGAGGCCATCCACGGGAAGCTGATCCAATCAGATGCAGTTTCAGAACACAATTTGTCCGTCGCAACAAATCACAGCCTTTTGGCAACAAAGCTGATGGCGCCTGTCATCAACCCTCAGCACAATCCAACCTATGCGATCCTGGACAACGGATGTACCAGATCCATGGGCAGCTGGCATGCAATCCAGCGTTTTACTAAGGCCATCGAACCAATGAAGGACATCATCTCCTATCAGTACATCCCGGCCGAGACCAAGTTCACTTTTGCAAATGGAGAAACAGCCAGGGTAAATTGGACCCTGCATCTTCGATATCACACAACTCCTCCATGCAGTACCAACATCGACGTCCTTGAACAAGGAACTGTGCCGATCCTCCTCAGCATCAGTCAGATGCGGAACCTCTACATGACCATAGAGCACACACCTCAATGTGACAAAATCACATGCAAGGCTTTTGGCATGAACCGGCAAGCAGTTCCGGTATCCGGTACAGGACATGCACTCGTCGATCTCGCTGGAGTTGCAAGAGTGAAGGCGCATGGAGAAATTGCTCATAAGGGCCTCACCAACTACGTCTATGATGATGATAACAGCATCAAGTTTCCCTCCGGGGATATCTCAAAGAGTGAAACTGTTTGTGCAGCAAAATCATCCGAGACGAAGGAGGACCTAGCAACTCCTAAAATCATTGGGTCTCAGAAGCAAGACCATTGGATCCTTGACAAGAAGAACAAGCAGCTCATCCGTGTGCACATCACGCCTTGAAAGGCACTGTTCACACCAAATGGAGCCAAGGAATGTCCAATCAATCCTGATAACATCAGCCGAGAGCGTACTACGGAAATCATTGATGCATCCGAAGGTGGAGATCCACACATCCTAGAAGACAATTGGAGACTTACATCCCAGGCGACAAACCTATGATAAACCTGTGGATAGGTAAGACCATTTTCACCTTCGCGGATAATTCGCTTAAGGATGAAGAAGCAGGCTCAGGATCGGCAGCAGACAGGATCATCGACAAGAAGGGCCGGTCGACCATTGAGCCAGATCCGTTCGCACCATCCTCAGAAGAACCTACAACGCTTCCGCTTGCACTAGGAAGAATCCACAAGCGATTGTCAAATCCCGAAGAGTTGAAGAAGCTCCGCCTCCAGCATCACCGCATGACAACAGATCAATTTCGATTTAGAACTCGCTCACTTCATTTGCCGAAATCAACATTCGATCTATTTGACAAATTCCGAAGTGAATGTGAAGTTTGCCAAGCGGCAAAACATGCACCATCACGAAGCAAGACGAGTGGACTTCGAGCGGACACCTTTGGTGACATGACATTCATTGATCACTGTCAAGTTCCTCTTGGAACAGGAGAACACATCATTGTTTTTGTCATCCTGGATGGAGCAACAACATTGCTCACTGCAGAAAAAATGACAACTACGCAAGAAGTCGAGAACATCACTGTCCTCAGGAACTATTTTGACCAGTACCATTTACAGCCAAAATCAGTTAGTTGTCGCAGATCAAGCCTTCATGACGGAGACATGGGAACATTTCTCTCAATCCCTTGACATCACACCGATATCATTGGGACCGAACACACCATGGCCAAATCGAGCTGAAGCAGCAGTTCGACTCCTGAAGGCACAACTCAAGATCATGCTGAGTTCCATCAAGGCAGGAACAGCACCTGCAACACTGAAGAAAGTGACATACAGACAGCTGGTGAAGGCAGCTGCAACTGTCAGGAATCAGACTGTCAGCTACGGGGGTGTAACACCATTAGAGCTCGCATTCGGAAGACGACCAGCAGATCTCATCCAACCCGATGTCGCAACACCAGCTCAGTTGACAATTGACAGGAATGAAGAAGAGCTGACAGCCATCCAGATCAAGCAGCTGTCCAAGCAAGCTTTCCAAGAAGCACGTCAATCCGAGGACATCCGACGAGACCTTGCTCAAAATCTCCTGAGTTCTAAGCCTCTTCAGGTGAAGGACAAGGTATTTTACTGGCAGGAAGACAAATCCAAGATCCGTTCCGATGGAAGCAAGGGAGGAATATGGCTAAAAGTTCCATTGAAGGAGCAATGGTAGGACTTGATCTTGGGACTCGACTCATCAAGGTTAACATGACGAAGGTCAGAAAGGATGAAACCATTTTTCCGGGGAAACCTGGAATTGATCTTCTTTTGCCAGAAGAGCGAGAATCCTTGCAGAAGGAGCAAACCGGCTTAAGCCAAAATCCTCAGTGCCATTACGCATCGCGGGAAAAACAACTCCCAAACCTGCAGCGCCTCATTCGGCAGAGAACATGTTCGTCGAGGACCTCACATCCATTCCTGAACAAGCACACTGGAATTGTGTACGTAAAGGAAAGATCCACGTTCTCGAGATCTTTGCAGGAAGTGCCAGATTCAGTCAATGCTGTGCACTCTCAGGTCTTAAGGTTGGGACTCCCGTAGACATCCGCACCGGATTCGACGTAATGACATCCAAGGGACGACACATGGTCATGGAGATCATCAGAGGGCAAGCACCTGATGTAATCCTCATGGCACCGGTCTGTGGACCGTGGTCAAACATGCAGAACATCCAACAAGACCAACAAAGAGTCTGGGAGAAGCGGAAACGCTAGCTTCCCATGGTTGAA